ATTATATCTTATAAGATGATCGGCTTATGTTATTTGTTTTACATACTTTGTAAAGGAATGTGTAGATAATAAACAAATACAAAATATTTAAAACTTTTGCTAATATATTTATACAGCATAGACTTACCATTTCACAGTAATCTTTTTTCTTTAATACCTTCAAATATAATAATTATATGAAGGATCCTAGAAGATCTTTGCTGTTTATAATTTTGATATTTTTGATCTTAAAATTTTAAAATGCATCAACGATACAAACGCGCAAAGTTGCGTAAAGCATGATTTATAGATTTTGCTGTTTCTGCCCTAAAATTTAATAAATTCATGTAAAAATTTCTTTTATCAATTGTTCGAATATAAAATAGGTAAAACATTACATATACAACATTTAATGTACCTTGTAACCGTATTGTGAAATTCAAACAATTGTTCAGGTTGTGCTGTAGGAGAACCACCTGCATTTTGTGATGGCATGGTTTTAATGGCTTCTTCTAACCATTTAGATAATAGCTAAATAATTAATAATATTTTAATTATAAAAGAATATAATAATTAATAAATAAAAAATTATTATATCTTACTTGTCTATTAGTTAAAGAAAGTTCAACAAAAACATCTGCCACATCAGATAACATGTAGGACGATAGTGAGAATACAGATGCATGAAGTAACCTTATAACTAATGTCTGTCCTTTTTCTTTTAATACGCGTTGTACTAATTCCCGTCGTATTGTATAATCCGTTCGATTCTTGACAATAAAAACAGTAATAAAAATTTATTAATATCAAAGTATAAAAAATCAAGTTTTCTTTTAAATTACCTCATAATTTCGACCACAGTGTAACAAATCATAAAAAAATTTCATTACTGATACATTTGCGTCTCTATGGTCTAAGCTACAGGCCATTAAGGCACAGTCAATTATGCTTTCTATGACAACAGAGCACAGAAAAGGTATTGGAGCTCTTTGAAGAAACCTATTATTAAAAATATAATTTTAATATTTAGAACAAGATTATTTTGTTAATAAAAATATATACCTGGCACATAATCTGAAAAGATCATCTACAGTATCAGGATGATTTTTTAACCCATCTTGTTGTTGAAGAATATTAAAAGTAGGTCCAATAAATGCCTCTAACATTTTTAATAAACCAGAGACACATTCTGAATCTGTAGCGTATTCATCAACTAATATTGAACCGAGATATAAAAAACAACTATGTTGATGAGCTGCATATAATTGCACAATCTGAAAATTTATGAAATAATAATATAATTCTATAATCTAAAATTTATATATAATAAATACCTGTTTTACAAGCGGTTCAAGAAGATGGGCGGAATGTTTTCTTACACAACGAACAGCAAATCTTAGACAACGACAACATCTTTCCATTAATTTTGCATCATGTTGATATGTTGTGCATACATTTGATAATATGGGCCACATCTATATATAACATCAATATAAAAAAATATACGTGTCATGAATTATTATAATATTCAAATAATATTATTATTATTAAATCATAAGACATACTTCAGTAACAGCACTTTGACAAGGATGAGGTTCAAAACTATCTTCAATTGGAGGGTCAGTATGTCTAAATATAGCAGCTAATCTGTCTAGCCATATCACAGGATCAGTCTTAGTTCCTACTTCAATGGGGATTCTACGTTCCATAATCTCACACAATGGTCTTGCTTGAAACCAACATAATTCTTTCATAGCTTGTGTAAGTTTTTCACGTGGTAAGCTTGACATAATTATTGCTACTCCTGTTTTAAAATAATAGATATATTATATTGTTTTAAAATTTTTATTTGTCAGCACTTATATCTTACCTTTAAGCAAACCAATAGCAGCATCATTACTGATAGCAAAATTATCAAGGGAACGTGCTATTTGTAATAATCCTGGAAAATGTGAAGCCATATGTGATGGGCAAGCAGTACATATACTTAACAATGCACCACAAGCTGCACTTCCTAAACCTTTTTGATTTAAGCAGGTCAAAAGAAAATTCAAAACAGGTTCTACAAATTTAATTTTAAATTATTTATAATAAATAAATATATTAAAGCATAGTTATTTTTAAACTTAGAGATTACCTAGAGATTGACGATGATTGTCTATCCATTCACAAAGTTCTCCCAATAATAGAATACTTGTATGACGAACAGCTATATGAGTATTTTCTGGTAAATTTAAAATGGCCTCTACTACTTTCGGCACTACGTCATTTTCTTTTCTGTATACAAATATTATTATGTTTGTTGAATCATAATAAAAATATTATTATAATTAAACATATAAAAATCTTTATTATATCAGAAAATTACGGTAAAATATTTTTTGCCACTGCTTGCATTACAAACAGAGCTGCTTCAGTTGAATCCCATGTAGGTACATGATTAGGCTGACCTTGTGGTCCTGGACCACCTGTCAAAGATGAAAACATTTGTCGAAAACAATGACTACTTCCAACTACAAATACAACATCCTTTATTAAATCTGAAACACGATTTCTAAAATCTGCAAATTCTTCTCCACCAGCTCCCTCTTCTACTAGACCTAACTGTTAAAAAAAATTATATATAGAACATCTTTAGAAAAAAATATTTAAATCATTTCATTTAAATATTGAAAATACTAACATGATCTGGTTCCATTTGGCAATGCCTACATAGTGCTCCAATTAATCTTTCAATATGAGGTCGAAATACTGCATTAAGATCATCGCTATTTTTTTGATAGAGAATTTCAGATAAACGATACCACAAATTGAAAGTTATTTGTGCTACTTCATAATCATGATGTCCAACACATACTAAGACAAGATCAAGAATTTTAATAGCATAATGTTGTTTTCCTCCTGTACAACCATTTACTATGGTTTCCAAGAAGGTTTCAGCTAATTCCGTAAAAATTCGACAATAGTTTATCGACCTAAACAATTTATATAATGACTAAGTACATATTTTAAATAATTAAAAGTTGTATTATTTTTTTAATTACATAGAAGAAATAAAGTTTACTTGTCCATATCTTCATGTGCAACAGATAAATGATATGGTTGTTCTAAGGTCATTACACTAGTAAAAAGAAATAATTGTAACTGTTGTAGTTGTATATTAGATTCGCTATTATTATCCTGATTACTATTACTATCTTCTTCCAAAATTTGCAGAATTACACATATACAATCTGCAGCTGCTTCATGTAATTGAGATCCAGTCATATGATTTCCAAGTATCTAAACAATGATATATAATACTTTATTTAAAGTTTATTTAAAGTCATCAGAAATTTATCTAAAATTATCAGATATCAATATTGATGAGAAAATATATACCTGAAGAGTATATACAATAACATCACTTGTAGGTACAAGAGGTATAGCATGTACAGCAATCCAACTTGTAAAACATCTAAGAATTGTAACACGGATTTGTACATTCTCTCCGCCATTTTTTAGACACATTTTCTAAAGATATGATAAAAATATGAATATAAAATATTAATATATATAAATAAAATATATAAAAATATATATTTTCAATTTACATACCAAAAATTCTGTCACTGTATCTGCACTTGCATTAAGTTCAAGCAATATATGTTGCCTGCGATTAGCTCCTAATCTATAAAATTATATACAATTTAAAAAAAAATTCTTTACAAATATTTGCAAATATGTATATTTAAATACCTAAGAGATCTTGAATTCACTTCTTCTGGTAATACTGTCATTACTTCAAGTAATGGCCATAAACTAGCAGTTGATCCGCCAAATCTATTAATTAAATCCACAACTGGTTTTTCCCATGTACACATTTGTAATGCAAGATCTGCTAATGCTAAACACAACTATAATAATAATTTGTATTACTGTAATCATATATATAAAAATATATATATAAATAATATAAAAAAAATTATATATAAACCTGTGTAACAATAGCAGAGTTGGTATGTTCATTAATTTGTGATATGTGATTCATTAAAGAATCTCTCAAAGAAATATGAGCTTCTGGAGGTAATTCTTGGAAACATAATTGTATTTTGGTACGCATTGTTTGTGCAGCAAAATAACAAGATTGAAAATCTCGTTTTTGTTGCAACATTTCATCTGCTATTTTCCATGCAAATACCTAAAAAATTATTTTTATAAATATTAATATATTTATACATATAATTTATATAAATATTTTATAAATATTATTTTTAAAAATATTATTTTTATATTTTTTTTATTTTTAAATTACAATAATATAAAAACAATATAATATAAAATTAAAATCTTTTATACATAAGGTTAGAGATTACTTGATATATCTATATTTTTTAATTTAGAATTTTATACATTTATATCATAAAATTATTAAAAACTATATCATCAATGGCAGAAAAATTTGTAAAATACAATGCTTATAAAATTTCAAAAATATATAATAATTATAAAAAACCGTTAACAAATAACTTACTGATTTTTGTAATTCGTCCAACCATTGAGATATTTTTCCTGGCCCCGAAGGATTTGAATTATTATATAAAGAATATACAGCCTGGTAAACTGTTTCCAGGTCAGGCGGAGACTCCATTCTTCAAAAAATATTTATTTTCCCGGTAATATCCATACACACAGTTAATTCCTACTGACAACAAATCACTCGCGTTTTATACCGCGTTACATCCGATCTCCAAATCCAACCTGTACAACTACAAAAAGTTTCTTGTTCACACTATCAGCGCATATTCTGCTTTATCGACTTACAGCAAATAGTAATATCTATTAAAACTTAATTGAACAAATAATTTCGAATACATGCAGTTTTAAAAATAATCATTAATAAAAAATCTTCTTTCTTACGTGATTCCGTTTATATCATTAACCTATATATTGCAATTAAAATTATATTATCTATTACACGTTTATCAATCACAATTCAACTACAGTTGTATATCAACTGTTTATATATATAGTTATAAAATGGAATGTACTAACACATATTAAAATTATGACTGAATTTTGATCATGGTCTATTTAAATTATTTTTACTTGATATTTATAACTTAGGAATTTTCAAATAGTTTGTAACGTAATACACCTTTAAATATCCCGCCGTTTGTACGTTATCTGTAGAGAAGATGTATATGTACTACAGTTGAAGGATTTCTGTTTTTAGTGAATGCATACTTTCGTAAGTCCTACATGATCCATGGAAGCAATGCTTTAAAAGTTTGACGTTTGACAGTTGGACAACAAACAAGAAATAACATTTGAAATATACCATGAATGATTACAAAATTCCAATAATCGAGCCAACTATCGATTGTACAAAGGTGTAAACATTGGTGTTTTCATTGTTTTTTTTTCTATTACTTATATATAATAATAGACAATTTTTTTTAATACTTTTTTATTATTAGGTTCCACCAATTAATCAGAAAAGAACGATTTCTTTCATTAATCACTTTATTGTGCATACTGTAACATTTCTTAATAAATTTACATTATCATGTGAAGAAAGACTATTGCAATTTGAATATAAATTACAAAGAATAGAAGCTTCATTAGAAATTTTAGAATCTTGGGTATGTAATATTTCATTTATGTAATTATATACATGAATTATTTAAAAAAAAATATTGATAATATTTAATAATTTAATTATATTTTCATAGTTATCATCAATCCCTGGTTTGGAACAAAATCAAAATACTAAAAGTACTACAGAAAATAATGATAATAAAGAAGAAAATGTATCTAAAATAAATGAACCTGATGATATTAAACAAGATGTTTCTAAAAATATACAAACTGAAAAACAATTAATAAACAAAGATTCACGTTATGAAAAATATTTGAAAATGATACATTTTGGTGTACCAAAAGAAGCTGTCAAATTAAAAATGGAACAAGAAGGATTAAATTCATCTATCTTAGAGTAAGTTTTATCAAATGTTTTAAAATTTTCATAATCGAAAAAATATTCAAGTTTATAATAGAATATAAAAATTAATCATTTATATTATATTAAAATAAATATAGATAATACTATATAATAATTTCATAGTTTTATAATTAAATATTTTTAATTTTGTTGATTCATATTGCATATTATCTTTTATGCCTATAATTTATTAACATTAATATTTTTTACATCAGCAATGAATCCCAACAAGTAATTTCTAAGCAGATATCTACAGAAAACGATAAGGATAAAGAAGATTAAATATTTAGTTATATTAAATTTAATATACTGAATTGATTATACTAAAAAAAAACCATGTGACACATTTTTACGTTATAAAACACAATTAATAAAATAATATAAATACAAATATTCAGAAGATTTATTTCATATTTTATTAAATACATTTAGCAAGTTTATATATATAACTTCATCTTAAAACTGAATCATTTGTCCCTGCAATGAAACATTATTATTATTATAAATTAATAAATAAATTATATAAAATATTGCAAAAAAAAGAAAATTATATATTAAAAATATATTACTTACCTTTCGCTTTTTATCACCTCCTAATTCAAAATGTTTACATCTTTTAAGAGGAATTTGTTTTCTATATTTGCATTCCGTACATTCCATTCTTAATACAATCTTTTTTGTAGTTTTTGCCTAAATAAATAATACAAAATTATCAAAAATTATAAAATTATAATTATACTGATAATATTAATGTCACTACATATATATTTAAAAATATATTTAAAAATATACTTTTTTCCTGAAAATGGGTTTAGTTTGTCCACCAAAACCTTGTTGTTTACGATCATAACGTCTTCTACCTTGGGATGCATGACGTTCTTTACTTTTTTTATATTGTGTTACTTTGTGTGGTTTATGTACTTTACACTTTTTACAGAAAGTGCGCCTCTGTTTCGGCACATTTACCTAAAAATATAAAGAATATTCACGATATAACGCAATTTTATTTTCTTAAAAAAAAGAATTAAAATGATAAATTTAAATTCTTTTATGATTTATATACATAATTTTTTATAATTTATATTTCTTTTTTATTAATCTTTATTAATATTAATTTATTTTGTTTTTAATTTTTAAAAGATATTTTAACACAATGTCATTTTAGAGGTTATGTTATTATTATTATAACATTTGTTTCTATTTGTAAATATCATAAAATATTTATATTATTGTTTTACAAATACAATATATGTAATAAAATTTAGATTTATATATGACATTATTACAAGATTATCATTAAAATTATGGATAAATTATGAATATTTTCAATTGAAGATTTACCTACCATGTTGGACGTTTAGAAAGAAAAGGAAATATACTTGGAATATACACCGGAAATTGATATACATATATATTTACGCATGCGCGCATTAGACTATGAGAAAAAAATCAGAAATTTAATGTTTTTTTTTTATTAAAACATATAAATATTAATGAAATACCTAATATAATATTGCTTTATAAAATTTTTTTCATATTAAATCATGATAAAAATGAATATAACTATTTTTACTTTGTTTAAATATAAAATTTCAATTGTATACACGCCATTAATACTCGGCATCAAAATTGGTTTAATATATAAGACATTCAATCAATAACAGCAATTATATGTTATAATGTTTCTTTTACTGTTGTTTTTTAATCAATTTATGAGCTTTAATGAATCATTTTGTATTATAATAAAAATTTCTGCTATTCATTCAAACAACTATTAAAATTAAAAAATAATACTTAATATATGAAAGAAAAAAACAATATTAATATGTAATCATTTTTCTTTTGTTACGTTGTCTTTGGTTACGGAAACGAATAATTCATTGTATAAATAATTAGGTTAATTTATAATAATCATAATTTGTTTTTATTTAACGTAATAAACAAAAGTTCATTCATATTCATTATATTTAAAAAATATTTTTCATAGATAAAAATTTAATAAACTAATAGTAATATATTTGACGTTAAATTTTGAGTGACAGGTGTGCGTCTGCGTCATTCAAAAAGCTTAGTTCTTTTATGTATAGGATAATTCCCGCCATGATCTTTAAAGCATGTTATTTGAAATATCCATTTTAAATTAATAATTTTTAAAGTATGTATAAAATAATTATTTTCTTTATATGAAATTTATATTGTATTTCTTATATGTTTTAATTTTTTTTTATAAGGAAAATATATAAAAAATATAAATGTTCTTTAGCGATAAAACTTATTTGAATCGAGCAACATAGCCTCGAACCAGACGGTAAACTCAGGCCACGAACTCTCGAACCCCTCGTCCTCCGCAGGATCTAATTTTATTTATACGTCAGGTGGATGGATTACGTGGAAAATTTTCATAAGAAATAATAAAACATCATGTAGTGTTATAACTTTTCCAATTAGGTGCAGTGGCACGTCGGAAAAGGATATTATGATTTCAACCAATCAGACATTTATCGAGTTTCAAACCCGCGCCATCTTCATTTTTGAACAAAGCCAGGTTGGATGTGCTAGGAGCGAGCTGAGACCGGGTAGTAGTCCGCTTTGCGCTATTCGCGCCACAGTCGTCAGTTCACGACGCTCTCCACTCCTGACTGGTTGGTCTCTGTCTCACCTTCCCTTCCCCTCTTTCTTTCCCTCTGCCCCTTGGGTTTTCGCCTGACGACGCTGCTCTCTCGGGCATTTCGCCGGAAACTGACGCCGCGCGAGGGCACGAAGTATCGTTACGTGTACACATTGCTCTACCTTTTTCATCGTTTATAAGCAGACACGCAGGCATCTTGTCCATCACACATATCCATCATGAGTAGCAAAGAAAACAACGAGGTCGCTGTGGAGAAGGTGACTGAGAACGACAAAGCTTCCGGAGACGCGAAATGTGAGATCAAAGGAATGAAGAGGCCAGCCGAGGTGAGTTGTCTTGCTTTTCCCATTTGATTTTTTAAAATACTTTCTCGACCTTTTTCACGATTGTACGTAGGCATACACGTACACATGAAAGCACGTACACGCCGGCTTACACCATGCTTCCGCGCCACGCTGCTTGATCACAGCATTGTCTACGATTTCAAAATCGTATTTATATAAGTCGATGGAAGTTCGTGAATATTCTTTTAATTAGATTTTCGTGTTTTTGAATTTTATGAAAATAATTCGTATTTTATATCTTAGAGTAATGAATTTATATTCTATTTGCAATATCGTATTCTCGAGGACAGACGGGTGGGCGGGCAGTTGAGTGTCGTTTCAACCGATTGACGGCATGGAAAAGAATAGAATGCCGGCCGGCATTTTCATTAGAATTCATATTTTTACAATATTAAGAAATTTATTTGTTTCTATATTTTTTCTTTAAACGATAAAAAACTATCTAATTGTGATTGTTTTCTCGATTCAAGCTAAGGGACGCCATCGTATTTCGCGTGGTTGCCACGAGCACGATGGTTTAGTTGATCACCTTTATTGTTAATATCATTTATAATTACCGATCTAATTAAAATCAGATTCAATATTCTTATGTTTTTATTTTGTGAATGCAAAATTCGGGCGGGATCTCCATTACTAACGCCATGTGCTTATTTCATACATTTTCTTATTGTGCATTCTCGAAGCGTTCTATAACTCTGTAGAATTTTGTGAAAATTTTGTCGAAAGCATAGTTTATATTACTTGGCATTCTTTCTACAAAATGGACGCCATTTTTTTTATCTAGAATATCAGTGTTATAGATAGGAAAAGCGAGCATCCCGCGCATTTTTCCGACCGCCGTTGCTGCCGCCACCACTACCGCTGTGGGTTTCCATTATGGCGCCCGAAACCAAGCCCGCGTTCGTTGTGCTTTCTCGCTTACTCCTATCTTCTCCTTCC